TACCCACAGTACAACGCTCCGTGTGTCAATGCAAGCCCTGCTAGCGAGGATGCACTCCACCAACACAATGAGCATAGTATGGACACACAAGATCGACTTGCTTAAATCGGAGGCTCGATGTCGACTTACATAAAACCGACAACTTTGTAGTGGAGACATGTCCCTAGTGTTGATTTATAAACTGGAGGAGGAAATTCATTGAACTGAATTAGTTGAATAAACTGAAATTAAGAAATATTCTCTCTGTGCCTACAGAAGAGGCTACTGCTGTCAAAAGCTGGTTATGCACTTCAACAAACTCTGATTCCAGCTGCTTATCCAGTGACTTCTCCAGTTCAGTGGTCTGACTTTCTTCTAAATTAAATAAAAATATTAAGCTGTACATGTTTACTGCATGTTTTCATGATTTTAATATATTATAGTAAATTTAGGCCTGAAAAAGTTTGTAAGAGTTATGTTCCCTTCTCTCTGCATCCCTCCACTGCTCCCTGTTCTCCATTTCATCAAATACAATGTTTACACTTCCAAGGCCTTTCACAGCTTATCCCACACTGCCTATCATCTCTCACATGCTATCAAGATCTCAACTCCCGCCTCCATCCTGCCAATGAAGGCTGCCTTCATCACCCGCTTGTTACATGTTAAACAAGCACCTTCAGGCTCTCTCTCACCATGCTGTACACATGGGATGAGCTCCCGATAAATACCCTCAAAGCCACCTCATTGTCCTTTCACATCTCTTCTTAATTCTCTTCTTTGTTGGAATACCTACAAAACTCTTGACAACCATTGGGCAGCAGGTGTGGTGACCCCACTGCCTAGCATGCTAACCACTCCTGACTTGTTTCTTTATGCTCCCTTGTCTGTTTATCTGCATTCCCCTGTTGTCTCGTCCTAAACTGTAAGCTCTTTGCAGCAGGGACCATCTTTTGGTGTTTGTACAGCGCCTAGCACAACAAGTCCCTGGTCCATGACAAGAGGTTCTAAAGCAACAAAGAGCCTCCTTCATAAGCCAGTCCCGCCAGCCCACCATCCAGTTTTATATCTTCGGCAAATTTCATTAATGACCTTTTGGTTCCTCTTCTAGATCTAGACCACTAATAAAGAGGTATAATAAGTCTGAATGTGTGATACTACCCTAGTGCATTGCAGTTCATCACACCAAGGGTCTTATTCTCCCATAAGTCTAGTTCACACGAGTAGGGCTATGATGGTCATGCCAATCTTTAAAACATTCCACTGCAGAGGTTTAGATAAACAATGACAGATCATGGAAAGAAGAAGAGGGGATCGGAGAGTGAGCCCATCCCATGCTCACTCTGTAGCAGTGGCTCCTGTCCCAGGGACAGAGGGGCAAATTTGATGGGTGTTACACCCTAGCATAGTATTGATGCACAGAAAGTTAGCCAGAAATGGAGGGGCAGACATGCCAAACCTGAGTGGACTACGTCACACTGCCACTTGGTTTGGGGGCATTTCATGGACTTTATTCAAACTCAGTTTCCACGACCACTATGACATCCGTGACAAAACTGTAGCCTTACCCTCAAGCACTAAAAGTACTTGATATGTACATACACCCCTGGGAGAAGAGACCTTTTACATTAATCTTATTGCATCAAGGTGCTTTTACAAATAACAAATTTGTCTTTTTAGTTAAAACACTATTACTGCTTCATTTTACAATGCTCACTATTTTGATGCAGAAAGAGAAACTGATCTTTGCAGTATTCAGTTGTGTAAAAAAAAAAAAAAGGTAAAACACAGCTGCCTCTAGCATCATCAACTGCCAATTGATTTAATGCCAACAATCAAAAATTATTCTAGTTGGAAATAAGTATAAAGTTGGGTAAGTAAAAGATTTAGGCAGAGGCCCATTTAATCAGAATCATTCAACTTTTGGTCCAACTACCAGTATTAGTAATTACCATTTTCTTTATTTCAACAGGCAACTCTGGTATTTATTTTTGTCCAAATCTCTTCTGTGACCATGATGAAAGCAACAAGCAGTAATTATCAATATGAAAAGCAATTAATATAGCCTACAATTCAGTTTAAGCCTATGATATGCAGAAAGTTTGCCTCTTTCAGCCAATGCTATTGTTATATTATTGCTAGTAAGTTGTGCTGCTTCCAATCAAAAAAAAAATCTTCTCGAACATTATATAGAAATAAAGCATGACTCAAAATATCTTCTGCCTGATCTCATTAAGGCGTGTTATAATTTCTCCGGAAGTGTGACCCTACCTTTTTAATGTAGATGCACAAGTTTGTTCATAACAAAAACATCCTTGAAAGAAAAAAGGTTGGCATTTTGCTAGCATTTATTTCTTTGCAGTTCTCTGTAGCCAATTATTTCATATAATTATTTCTGTTGTGGTTAATTCTTATGTAATCAATGTGTGATAAACAGAGGTAGATACAAGTATAGGAATGAGTACAACCAATAGTATTATAGGGGTATAAGGTTGACAATTATTTATGAGTGATGAATGTGTATTAGTTATATAAACAAAGTAAGGCTGTAATGCAAGATCTACAGGCTGAGGCCTGTAGAACTGTAGCTTAGTCATATTAGGCAATGGTTCTCAAACTTTTGTAGTGGTGACCCCTTTCACACAGCATTTTTTTTATATTTAACACTATTATAAATGCTGGAGGTGAGGCGGGCTTCGGGGTGGAGGCTGACAGCTTGCAACCCCTCAGCTAATAATCTTGCAACCCCCAGTTTGAGAACCCCTGTATTAGGCTTTAGACCTAAAGAAGGGTTGACATAATCCTGTACCGGTGAAGTTACAAGATTACTGTAAAGAATGTGCCAATGGGTGATATTCAGGAAAATATGCCACAATGTACCCATCTAAACCACAAGGCCCCTGATTGTTCATGGAAAATACTGCAGCAACCGCATGTTGCCATGGGGACTTGTTGCCATAAATGCTAAAGAAAATAAATAATATGAAAAGCACAGGTACCCCACGATTTTATGGGGTGCAGAAATCCCAATAAAGAAAAAGGATTTGGAACCTTCATGCATATGCATAAGGGTTATGGGCGTGAGCATACTGCAGCACAAAAAGGGTTCCCCAACACAAATGGGGAGGAAGAATCCATCGGGAGACTCTCCACAGAGTTTACATCAGTATAACATGTTTCTGAAACACTATACTCTCTAGGGGACTGCACTGGTTTAAGTAGCCCGCCCTCCCTCCCCCCTCATTTTAGTTAAATTTGTGCAAAGACTGACTGTAGACAAGCATCTGTAGACTACCAATGCTTGTGGCATTTAATTTCTACCTATTTATATAGCATTCACCACTATTATCTTAGCACCTGTGTTGACATATATACTGTAATGAACTTCAGCCAGGAATTGGTTTAACTGTGTTTCACTTTGAATCAATGTTCTCAGAAGTCACCCAAAAAATATTTTTCTCCCTTCACTATAACTGCTATAAAAATGGACCAAAAGTTATCAAAATGGTCAGTCAGGAAATAGCACAGCTAAGTGATATTTTCTGTATTACCAGAGTCCCCTTTACAGAAACAAGTTAGGTAATATCTCTTAGTGGACTAACTTCACCCATCTTGTCTCTCTAATATCCTGGAATCAACATGGCGCTACACTTCAGAATCCCCTTTCACACACACTGCTCCCCCCTCATACCTCTACCTTCAGTCTCAACAGAAAGGCTGATTCTGTCCCTTACCTCCAGACCCAAATACCATAACATCTTTGAACACGCACTGATGGGCAGAAAGCATGATTTTTTTAAATCCACTTGCCATAATTTGCTTGTTATTCACATCAAGGGTGGAGAAAGAGTGACATACTCTAGATACAGCCCCACCCAAAATAGTCGCTAGTGCAAAGCAAGTGCACATCCCCCTATAGAAATCAAAGCGTACGTAACAGTCCCCTCCCCAGCCAGAGCTTTGGAGCTGTGCTCCGGCTCCACCCCAGCTCCAGGCAAAAACCTGCAGCTCCACTGCTCCGCGCTCCAGCTCCGGGCTCCGCTCCAAAGCCCTGCAAGTCACATATTGTATATTGGTAGAAGTCGCTCCAACCCAGATGTGCTGCATATGTTGAGTTTGGAAGCTGGAATTCTCTTACAGAAAAATTTATTTTGCTTCATTTAGCTTTATTTGTGTGCACACACGTCCTCCTGCGCACACACGTATGCCTACTAGCAGGACATGACCATTCACTCCCTCTTACAGCTCAGCATCCCTGCTCCCTCCTCCCAAACAGGGAGGCCCGGCCTTGTCCCAACAAAGCTCCTGAGGTTCACTAGGCACTACTAGAAAAGGACCCCCCAAGCGGGACGCCTGTGGCCACAAGCCCTTGGAGTGGTCTTGACTGCGAAGCAGTGGGAAGACAACCCGGGCAGAAGCGACGGCCGAAGTGCTCTCCCACTGCCCAGCACAGACTTGCGGGGGGACAGGCCGGGGTAAGGGCAGCAAGAGCAATGAATACCAGAAGCTGTTGCCCCCAGGCCTCTCCCCTGCAGCTAGGGCGAGTGGCCCCGCACAGGAAGACAGACTGTGACTAGCGGGGCTCCCGCTAGGCCCACGAAAAATAGCCTCTTCTCCTCACGAGGGACGGGCCCAGCTGAAGCCCCAGGGGGGCGTGGCGCCAGCTCGGGCGGACCCAGCTCCAGCCGCCGCGAGGCCCCGGGCGGGCTGGCGGGCGGGCTCGGGAGGAGGCGGCGGCCCCGCGCTTGGACCCCGGGGACCACCCACCCGCAGCGAGAGGGGAGGCCGGCGCACGGCACTCTCCGCCTTAGGGATCCCCTGACCTGCTGCGCCGCTTCCTACGCTCCCCCGGCTCTCTCAGGCCCTTCGCGCGCCGCTGCGTGAAGAACACGTCATCAGCTCGCCGCCCGTCGCCCATAAACACGTCACCTCCCCCCCCTACCCCGAGGCTGGAAGGTTACGCGAGGGTACGCGCATGTTCGGTGAGGCCCCGGTCGCGGTGCATGCTGGGGGTTGTAGTTTAAGGGCCGAATCGGTAGCTGGGAGAGCGGCGCCAGCTCCATCCCCCGAGCCTGTGGCGCGGGCCCTGTTCTGCCGCCGTGTTTCTCGGCGGAGTGGAGTCGGCTGCGGGGGATGCTCCTTCCCGGTTCCGGGCGGGACTGTGCGCGGCGGCCGGGAGCGGCGGGCGGCGGCGGCGGTGGTGGTTGGTGAAGGACAATTGCAGTAATGGAGTAAGTGTCCCCCTTCGTCTAGCAACGGGGGCTGTGGGGTGAGGGAGGGGGTCACGGGGAGTGGGGGGTTCAGTGGGGGCTGTGGGGTGAGGGAGGGGGTCACGGGGAGTGGGGGGTTCAGTGGGGGCTGTGGGGTGAGGGAGGGGGTCACGGGGAGTGGGGGGTCAGTGGGGGGCTGCAGTGTGGGGAAGGAGGTCATGGGGAGTGGGGGTTCAGTGGGGGGCTGCAGTGGGGAGGAGGGGTCACAGGGGTGGGGGTTCAGTGGAGCACTACAGTCTTTAGGAGGGAGTCATCGGGAGTGGGGGTTCACTGGGGTGCTGCAGCCTGGGGGAAGGGAGTCACTGGGGGGCTGGTCTGCCGTACCATGTCTGTTGGGTGGTTGGGGCCCCCATCACTGGGAGAAATGGGGGTTTGATGGGGGTTTACTGGGGGCTGCATCCAGGGACAAACTAGAGGGCAGTAAAGTGGTAGGGCGGGGGGGGAATTGCAGAGGACTGTGTGGCAGTAGAGTGGTGCTATGCCAGTGACACCCAGTCTCCTGGGGAATCCCCCAGTCATGGGGGCTGTAATGGTGGAGATTAGTGGCACTATGGGTAGACAGTTTTGGGGGGAGCGTGACAGAAACAGGGCTATGGGGATGATTATCAGGGGAGGGGCGTTGTGGGATGGCTGCTGGTGGGAGGGTAGTTGTGATGGGGGCTGTGACGGGATGGTTATTGGAGAAGTTTGAGGGTGACACACAAAGTGGAAGTATAGAAGCGGTCACGGAGATTGGGATCTCTTCCCATGTTGCGGAGTGTCATGGTAGGAGCCCGGGGTACAAGCATCTTTGTGGGGAAAGTAACACTGAGCAGAGATATGTTGAGAAGCAGCGCAGGTTCCTGACACTGATATTATGGTCTGTGTCTGTTATATATTTGTTATTTCCAGCTGACTGGTAAAGATGGAGAGAGGGAGAGGAGGAGGAGGAGCAGGAGGAAGGAGTGTGGGGGGCTCCAACCTGCACAGGAGCATTTACTCCCAGTCTCAACAGCAGTATCACTATCCTGCCTCCTCTCAGGGGGGCTGCATGGAGATCCAGGAGCTAGCCTCCAAAAGGGTGGACATCCAGAAAAAGCGATTTTATCTGGATGTGAAGCAGAGTTCCCGAGGCCGCTTCCTGAAGATAGCGGAGGTCTGGATAGGAAGAGGCAGGCAGGAAAATATCAGGAAAAGCAAACTGACTCTTTCCTTGTCTGTGGCTGCTGAGCTGAAGGATTATCTGGGAGATTTCATAGAGCACTATGCCCATTTGGGCCTCAAAGGCAGCCAGAGTCATAGACATGAACACAGTAATGGCAAAGATCAAGATTTGAGAAGGCGGCAACAGCATCATCTGCCTTCGCCTCCAGCATCTGTTGAATCCGAAGAGCATCCTCACAGTGTCCTGAAAACTGAGTATATAGAAAGAGACAACAGGAAGTATTATCTAGACCTGAAGGAGAATCAACGCGGGCGTTTCTTAAGGATTAGACAAACCATGATTAGAGGACCAGGCATGATAGGTTATTTTGGCCACAATTTGGGACAGGAACAGACTATTGTCCTTCCAGCCCAAGGGATGATTGAATTCAGGGATGCTTTGGTCCAGCTAATTGAAGAATATGGGGAGGGAGATATAGAAGAACGAAGAGGTGGGGGTGATGAACCCCTTGAGCTTCCAGAGGGGACTTCCTTCAGGGTGGACAACAAGCGGTTCTACTTTGATGTGGGATCTAACAGGTATGGCATTTTTTTGAAGGTAAGTGAGGTGAGACCACCTTACCGTAACACCATCACTGTCCCGTATAAAGCGTGGACAAGGTTTGGGGAAAACTTTATCAAGTATGAAGAAGAAATGAGGAGAATTTACAACAGCCATAAAGAGAAAAGAATGGATGTCACAGGTGACAGTGGTGAAGAGCAAGAGGGTCTGGAATAGAGTGCGTTTGAACTGGTCGTCAGGCAAAACAGAAAACCATAAATTGGCTAGAGGTAGTTTGAATATTTAGTAGTTTGAAGAAGTTGCCCCTCATTTTTTGTAAGTCCTTTTCCTGTTGTTAGTAATAACTCCAATATATAATACTTCTGAAGTCTGGTTATGTTAAATGACACCCAACACATCTCTCTAATTCCTATGGGAATATCAGCCTCCCAAATCTAAATGAATCAGCTGTTTCAAGTATTGAAGACTATGAAAGTATGCATATCAGCACAAAAATCTGACATTCTGACCTTTAAATAGTCTAGGTAAGGCTTGTGTTGCACTAGAACATGATACAAAAAAGCCAGACGTACCTTATGCTGAAAAATATTGGTTTCTGCTTATGACGGGTTTTCCAGAATTGAATATTGTCCATGCTGAGTTAAAATCTGAAAAGCTTAACTACAGGTCATTTACCACAAAAATTGACTTTGTATGCATTTTATCTACTTATACGAGGAAAGGTAGACATTTTAAATCAGTGTTCACTAATTACTGAATTTTAAGCAATGTTCTTTATGGATAAAATCTCGATAGCAGGTCAAGCCTTTATAAGGGATTGTCAAAGAGTGGAATATTAATTTCTTAGCTTAATAATTCTGTGGTAACCAAAAAATTCAAGTGCCACAGAAAAGTAAAGCAGTGTTTGAATTGTGATGGGTTATCCCAAATTAATGAAAATAATCCATTCTTCATCTACATATTACATCATGTAAGGTTGAGGATTTTTTATGTGCTCTCAAAATTTCAAAAACTATTTTTATATTGTTGGTAGTTTGGGGGGGCTCTAGCAAGGAGCTGGGAAGTGGGCATTTTGGTGGCTGAATGATTGTTGCAAGTGGGTTTCCAGGGTTTTCTCCCAATTGTATGAGTAACACAGGTATGATGTTAAAAGTATGAGGATAGCTTCTGGTTTCGTCCTTCTACTTTGAGGAAAAACCTTTGGGAAAGTTTGGTGCACCACTTAATTGGTATAAAAATGCTTCTCTAATTTCACACTTATTGGTAGCGCATTTACAATGCAATGGCTAAAGCTGTGTCAGCATTTCCATTACAAATTATTATTTTTATAGGTTTTAGTATTCCAAGATAATATCTATGCCCCCACCTCCGTCACTCCTTCCCCACCATGTTAAAGCTGGGGCCATGATCCTGCAATTTGATTCACGTGGGCAGACTGTTAGGCCTGCGTGAAGTCCCCTTGAAGACTATGGAGCTACAACTTCCCACAGATTGCTGCCTTGAAATCCAAATACTCTGCCTGGAGGGGAAATGTGTAGCATTATCTGTTCAGGAGGGTTGAGTTAGAAAGGGGACAGAGAATATTCTAAATGCTTTTGGATCTCAAAGCAAAAACAGATTTATTTTTATGAAGAAATTTTTCAGCATTTAGGGGCCAATTCATCTCCCACTGAAATCAATGGGAGTTGGATTGGGCTATAAATCCCTTGCTTAGAGACTCCATTTTGCCTACCTTTTTTATGTGGTTTTTTTTTTTAAGTGCTACTGTATATCTACAGAAATTTATCACCACCCAAATCATGTTTTTTAATGAAGTAGCTGAGTGTGCATGAGAGCCAGCTATCTTTTAATCCGAACAGTAAAGTTTAATCTGTTTAAACACACTTATCTGCAACCCAAAATTGTCCCCAGTCTTAATTTTAATCTGCCTGCACACTTGAAGGCCACACTAAATTCAAACACCTTATCATGTCTTTGATCTGATATACCATTAGTAATATCAAGAAGGACTGTATGTGGGGATTAAGTGAAAATCTGGCTTTTAGTTTGGGTGCTAAAAATGATCAAACTACAAAAAAAGCTTGCACCAAAGTCAGCAAAGAACTATTAGGAACATGTTACGCCTGTGACAGAAAAGAAAAATGTAAAGAAGTTAATTTCACTGTTTTAGGTGATTCCCTTTAGAGCTAACAACCAGTTGGCCTAGTGTCAAAAAAAATACCATAAACTAATCACTAATGTATTGATTGCTGTTTCAGATATTTTCTAATCCAAAGCAAAATTTTCTTATTTAGTCACTTGAATTGCTAATGGGCCATTTGGGCCATGACCAAGCAATTGAAGGTTATAACCTAAGTCCTAGGGCTAATGGTTCCTATTGGATAGTGAAATACTAAAAAAAAAAAAAAAGTAGTTTTAAGAAGTCACAAATCATACTGAAATAACAATTTATACTATTGTTGGCTTGATAGCAGAATATTAGTGAATGATTCATCAATGCCTAAGTTACCATCTCACTGATTGCTGCTGCCCATCACAGTGCCTAAAGTAGTGATGAACTTGTCAAAACTTCCAGCAATCTGGAACTATGAATGTAAGAACTTTTTATACTCACTTCTCCCCTTGCACCTCATCTTCTCATGGATTTTCCCCTCTACACTCAGCATCTTCCAGTCTAAAATAATGTTTGTATCACTCGATATAAAAAGCTCATTCATTGAAATTGTTCCAACGTAATATGTGCAATGCAGATAATCTTGCATTCCATGTGTTCTTTTGCTCTCAATGGAGAAAAATATTTTAATTGTGCAAGTAATTAATAATTTTAAAAAATACATTTCCTTCACAGTTTTAAAAAACAAACCAGTGCAAAGTGGCATTGTTATTGCTATCAAGTTGCCATTTTGGAGAATTAGAGCCAGACTACATCTTAGCTATTGAAAGTGCTCCAGTGAAGATGTAGACCGGTATCAGTTTGCATCACTGCTTCATAATTAGGTTTCCTGTATTTATTAATTGGCCTTCAGAAATGCATTGATGTATTGTAACTATTACCCCAGGAAGTCAGTACCTGCTGGCTGCTGAACAAGCTCAATTCTCAGCTCTGATACACAGGTAAGTGTTGCCTTGTGTTTTGTAAAATCAGCTAATGCACTTACTCTCACACGGTGATACGCACCTGAGTATCTGGGACGACGCTTGAGCCAGCCATCTACAGTTAAAACACTGACTACTAGTTTTCCATAGAAATGTAAAGCACTGATTGCAAATACTATGATCCAAGCATAACACCAACAAACTCAAAATGTAGCAATGCAAACTTACATTGGTTACATTTGGAAACGGGTTCCTCATTATTTTTGGCAGTGTGTTCCCAGCTTTAGAGAGCAGCAGTATGATGCTGCTTATGTGCAGAAGGGCCCATTATAACACAAAGGAATATTGAATTCCCAGTGCATTCTAAATGGATTGTCATTCTTTAAGCCCTAAAACTGCCTGACCCTTAAACTTGAGAAAAACACAAGCTTGTTTGCACTAAAGAGCATGGCCAAAAACAATTCTAAGAGGACAGGGTGAAAAGCATCAGTCTGAATCTCTTGAATTAATAGGTTCTCATGAGAGAATTTTACATTAAAGCCCTCACCTCTGTTTTAAAGCTGTGTGGTCCAGGCAGAAAGTCTGTCAGTTCTATAATTAAATAATAATGCACTTTATATTTTGTAAATAATAGAAGCACATTTCTGCTATTAGTTTTGTAGGATGTGCTTCAGTAATATATAGCCTAAATCTGTAAGGGGTGGTCTCCTGTATGCACGTCTGTCAGAGCTCTGTTGTAATCACTTGATCCAGTTACAATGGTATGGTAGAGAAGGCAGGGGCTATTAAAAATCCTTTCAAAACCACAAGTCTGATTTCCACCGCCCCCTCTTCCCCCCCCCCCGACGGTAGCATCCACAAATCCCATTAACTTTATATGGGGTTGTGGGTGCTCAGCATCTCTGAAAGATCAGGCTCCAAACATTTTGTGATGAATGTATAGCTATGTTTTGTACTCATAATCTTTATAGAGCTGGGTTCAGTAACTCCATCTCACTTAGCTTTCTGTGACACTTTGCTGTCACAGAAGCCCTCATAATCCCAGAAATGTTGATTTGGAGTAGTGGGGCGGATTAGGTGGGCTTCTGTGGTATTGAAACTAGCCAGTTTGTATTGACTCCAGCCATAGTGTGTAAACTTTCTTTCTTGTTAAAGTACAGATATAGTATGTTGTTGGTTGTAATAGTGCTATGGGAGAGTTGGAAAGTTACCTGCACTAGAATGGTAAGGTTCACCACCATGGCACTATGTAGGACATCTCACCAACTGTGACCAAGTAGACTGTCAAATTTCATGAAATACAGAGAACATAGCAAACTTAAAATAAATTCTTGATTAGGGACTTTCAGAAGCAGCAATATTTACTCCTGCACTAACAGAGTGGGGAATCTATTTTAATGCAACAAAACTTGAAATACACGTTTAATATAAATATCAATGATATGTGTGTACTTTATCCAGAAAGAAACTGTGCTTCAATATATTAGCAATCTGCTCTTTATCATAAGTGCTTCATATGTGTATTTAATACGTATAAATCCAATACGTGTATATTGTAAATCCACAGTAGCTCAAAGTGAAATAATATATTTATCTGAAGTGCACAGTTTAAAGATGGGACTTAAAAATCAGTTTCTGCCTGGAACACAGTTTGGTTAAATGTGTTATTTCACTGAGAGCTGTTACATATATTATTTATTGCACCCCTTTTAAGATTTCTGCATTTAAATGTTTTGATGTATTATTTATTTGAAGTTTGGTGGAGAAGGGGATGGTATGTGACTCTCAGTAGAGCTGAAGGAAAAATAGGAGAAAAAAATAAAAACTTATTTCAAGGTGTCTCATGTGAAATAAGTAGTCTTAGGCTTTACTGGCAGCTTTGTATGCAGGTTTACTGTTAGCTGCCATAGTGTTTCAAATCTGTCTTTAAATCCCCAAATGCTCCAAATCTTTAGGTAGGATAATTGTAAAATCCCAAATACGCTGCTAGAAGAGTTTAAAACAGGTTTGTTTGTGTAAAGGCTCAAACGAAATTACCCAAACCAATTTTAACGTACTTTTTCTGCTAAATGTATTTTAGTCAAATGGCTGCGTCCTTTTTCTTCAGTGGCCTATTAAAATGACTTAAACTCTATGGGGAGGAGAATTAGGAGAACTGTTGCTTGCTTGACTGACAACCCTTTTAACCAAAAGTGTAGTAATTTTGTGCAGTGGAAATGCATTTATTTTGTGGTTTGGTTTTACTGTACAGTGTTTTCACCGTGTGGAAAATGAGTTAGTAAGCAGGCTATAGTCCCATTGCAACTGTACATACATATGTTTCCTGTAAATACAATATATACGAAATCTACAAAATAAGTCCTAAAAAACTATCCATCTTGTATTTTATTTTCTGTGCTATTTCCTCTAAGGTGAAAATATTTTAATCCTTCTGTGTCATGGCTTTTAAAAAATCACCTTGTCTTTTCTATATGCTTTTTAATCATTCAGATCTGGAACAGTTTTCTTTAGTTAGGTGAGAAATGAAAAAGTACACTACATATAAAATGCCAGCCACAAACAACTTGAAGTATTTTCTTATATACACATGCTATCAACAGAAATCCTAGAATTAATTACAGCGAAGTATTTATGGATCAAGTATATGTGTGCATGTATTTGTAATAGTGTACATGTCAAATACATGGATAGGCATATTCACAATTTTAAATACAAATGAAGTCCTAGTCCTGCAACTTTTGCTGAAGCTGACATAATCCCAGTGCAAATAGTCACATGACTAAAGATTGCAGACTAGGGCCCATCAAATAATTATTTTTGATAGTAGCTCTTTTGCCTTTAAGTTTTGTCCCATATCCTGATTCCATTGAGGCAGATGGGAATTTTACTAGTGACTTCAGTGGGAACAGGATTGGACCAATTTGTGAATACCGTCTTTATGAGCAGTTGGGTACTACAGTATCAAAAAGTTGTGTTTGAATTTGGAGACCTTAATCTGCAGTTATAGTTGTACTGTGTATTCTCAATTCCGCAATGGATATAGCTATTTTACATTATTGATACTATCTAAGGTAGTCTCATTGTCCTTTTGCTTTCATCTGGAGTCATTAAAATTTTATTGTACTACTACAAAAAATGAAAAGTAAGCAAGTATGATTATTGGACAGTAGCATAAGATTTACTCATTAGATTTTTTTGTTTGTTTAGAGAACCAAAACCTACATCTGACTACAATTCTTGTAAAGATTATTGGTTTCTCTTTACATGGCAAATGCTTGCAGTTCATTATTATGTTAGGAGTCTATTAGCCCTATTAAATCCTAGTTTCTGGCTTTGTTTATGGCAGAATTTGTGGGGTTACAGAATAAAAACATCCATGTTAGGAGATAGGACATTCCTGGAATCAGGTATTTTGAAATATTAAAAACAGGCTTTTAGCCCAGCTGTTTAAAAAAAAAAAAAAATACTGTGGAAGCTCTAAATGTTGGTGACAGCCTATTAAATGTTATGGGATTAACAGCTCTCTCTATAACAAAGTGCTTTTCATGAAAACCTTACCCCACCTGAGGTCTGTGTACCACCTGTATTTATGCGTGTATAGGACAGTAGTATTTTAAAAATATCAAGACCTAGCAAACTTTTATCACTGGAGTTTAGGGTTGCTAATTTTAGTTGGACATATTCCTGGAGGTTTCATCACATGACATAATGAGACTCCGGGACAATCCTGGAGGGTTTACAGCCCTGCTGGAGTTCCAGTGTTTGTTATCCTGAAGTTCCATCTGTTGGGGTAACTTAAACACTTAACAAGTAAAATTTTTGGTAAACTGCAAAAACTGTTAAATTAAACATAACGTAGCTGAAAGGGCATGTTTCTGATAGAGTTCCACTTAATGAAATGGTGGAGCTTCTGGAATAGAATAAAATTTACACTCAGAATGGTGGCACAACAGGATCTCTGTAACGGATTGATTAAAATATCCAGCAATATATGCACTCAGTGTTTGGGGTCAACCTTAAATCCATACAAATACTTCTCAAGTTACATTCTTAACACATTCTGTTGAAGAGGAGCAGAGGAGGACAGGAACAGAAGCGGCCTGCAGGGGAATAGGAGGGATAGAAGCAGAAGGATCAGTTACCACTAGACCACACTGTCTCTCAAACTTGGAATTTGAACCCAGCATTCTTCTATCATTAAATAGTTATGTAACCCATTGCGAAGTGTGTGTCTCATTCCCCTCTAATGCTGTAGTCTGCATAGAGGATAACAGCCTACTGCTACTACCAGTTACTCCATTAGCCCAAGTGGTGGAGGTCTGTGTGATGGATTTAAAAGTCCCAGCCCCGCTGCTGACCCAAGTTGGGGAGTCAATAAGGTTCCAAAAGATGGAATTTGTTGGTTGTTTTTTAAAAAATATAGGCAATTCCATTTTTTTAAAGATTTACAGTACAAGAATGTTAAGATTGCAAAGTCAAGTACTCAAAAGTTAAGAAATGCCAGAATTAAGGTTGCACATGCTAGTTGGCACCCTTGTGTGTGTACATTTTGATACATTCTTTTAATTACATGATCATTTGTTTCAGTAGGACCCTGCTTCATTCAGTGCACAAGATGGACGGTGAACAGGGAATGAATCGGTTTTGCAGTGAAGGAGAATGTTGTCTGTAGGACCCCTGGCTCATTTGTTGCAGAAGTTGGAAGATGTGTAGTGGGCGAGGCAGAGGATTTCAGGAAGAAAAAGGATAGTCCTATGGGTAAGGCAGCTGAATGCTGCCCTGTAGAATTGGTGTCTATCCCTGCCTCTGCCAGAGAGTTCCTGTGCGATTCTCTGTAAGTCACTTACACTGAACTTTTCACAGGTGGTCATTAACCGTGTTCACCATTCTCAGGGTGCCCACTGAGAGACACCTACGGCCTGATTTGTGGAAGTTCTGAGCACAGTTGCAACTGAGGTCAATGGGACCTGTATTCTGAACATATAAATTGCTATAACATTGTTACATCTTCTGAAACATTCATAAGCGTCGCAAGTTAAAAGTAATGACCACTTGACAGTTTTGGCTTTATTCTGTCTGTGCCTCAGTTACCCATTTGTAAAATGGGGAAAAAAATCTCTTACTACCTCACAGAGGTGTTGTGAAGATAAATTCATTAATGTTTGCAAAGCACTCAGATACTACTGTGGTGAGTGACAGAAAATTCCAAGAGGAATTTATTAATTCCATATTCATTGCAGGGTTAGAATGTGTGTAATAAAATAGGCGTGGTGTCATACATGGAATGATGAGTATAAAAACAATAGCTGCCTCATTCCCAGACACTCTGTGCACTGAATGTGGAAGAGCTTCTTTGGGGAAAAAAATAGTCTGAGATTATGAATTAAAGACTGCATTCACCTGAATATGCACAAGAGGGCTGAATTAAGGTTGCACAGGCAACCTTAATTCTGGTATTTCCTACATTTTGAGCACTTGACTGTTCAATATTAACGTTCTTTTAACTGCCAATTTTTTTTCTGAGGAATACAAACCACAGCCAGCAAATGGTGCTTTTTAACAGTGTAGATCTCTTAACATAACTTAATAGGACAAAGAAAAGGCACTTCTCTAGCCTAAGGGTATTCTCTGGCTGAATTTCAAAGACCTGCTGCAAACAATGGAGGTGTGAGAACCTCTCAAAAAAGGTTACGAGAATCTCTTATAATGGAAGGTGTTAGGCAAGCTAATGATATGGGTCTAGCTCCCTTTATTATAATGCACAAAAAAGGCTGTAGTTTTCCTAACTGTTGCTCCGCCCCATGGTTTTCAGATATGAAGTATTGAATTTACCGTGCTGTCTTATGGGTGTCAAAATGTTTTCACTTAACCCCATTTTTAACTATTTGAAGCTCGTGCAGATTGTGCCAGCATTTGTGAGTTCAAGCTACATTGCTGTATTATCTGTATGCTCTCCTCCACAGATAGTGGAAGTCTTGTGTTAATCAGGAGTATTTCGTTTGGTGAAAAAATTTATTCTTGTAAATCAGCCTTTCCAAATCCCACTAATGGAGGGACCTGGCAATGATCTGACTGCAGAAATAATTTGGTTGGATAAGTTGTATTTTCAAGACATCACAGAATTCCTCCAGCATATAAAGGAAGGTAGAGGGTAAATGTTTGTGTCAATGCAATTTCTAGGGAGAATGTAAAGATGTGTGAGGATTTTTTTTTTTTAATATAGACCTCCTCATGTATGCCAAAACCTTCTAGATTATTCAGACTGGGGAGTAAACTATATAGTAATTTAGTAATCTGAAGGGCAGAAAAGGTTCATACTTGGCCAAGATGGTGGTTGCAACTCTGGAGTTTTCAGGTTTGGAAGAGGCTAATACTGCTGTTGAAAGTATTAGTCTGTTGTTTTCTTGTCTCAGCTGGTTAATGTTGACAGACTTGCTTGCTGGCTAGAAGCTGCTTGCTTGTAGGTGTTAAATCTTAGAGGTCCCAAGCTGTTGGAGTACTACCCTTTGGTGGCCAGGCCTGGGGATGAAGAAATCACAGGCTTTCTTGTCAAGAGTGGTGGCATCACATTGCCCATAATCTAGAAGCAACAGTTACACTTTTTTTCCATCATTTTTTAAGATGGTGGCCTGGTTTGCTTCTCCCCACATACCTACTCTTCGGGAATTCATTGGCAACTTGTAATGGGGCACTTCCCCTCTCATGTTACTGGCATCATCCATTGGTTTTTGGTTAGATCAGTTTTATGAAGTGAAGAATCTCCCCATTTCAGTTACCTGTTGGCCTGGAAATTCTGCAAGATCAGTAGAGCTGCCAATGTATGGCCAATCAGTCACTCGGCAGAGCCACAAACTCCGCCCTTGAATCTGCACCATTAAGGTTATGGGGAGCTTTGCCATTGATTTCAATAGGTGTAGGAGCCAAACCCATTCTGAGATACAGACAGACGGAGTCCATTCACATCAGCTGTTCTTGGTCATGAGATCCACCAAGATTCTTTTTTAGTACCATCTTGCAAAAATATATTTACAATTTTTCAAAAATAACTAAAAAATGCAAGGCTAGTATAAAAGTTAAAACTGAAGCATTCACTTCTGAGACCCCAGCTTGCAACTTCTCTAGTTTCACAGCTGCTGGTCGTAAGAGAAAAAAGTTCCCAAGCAGACAACATTGGCTAATTCAACTCTTCCACGTTCTGCTGGTCTGATCTTACACTATAGAAACAGCCTACAAATAAACCCATAATCATCCCAACTTAATAAAAGCCTTGCTTTAAAACAAAGGGAAAATGTTGGGGTCTTGGACCCTAAATATTCACAATTTTAGGTTCAATTTTTATGTGGGTGCAATAGGGCTGCACGCTGCGTGTTCATGATCTATCTTACTATAGTTTCATTTTGCAGCATGTTTCACGAGTAACCCAGAATAGCCAGCAGTTGATTGGAAAACATGGTGGTGTGGGGGTGGTTATGCCAAGCACACCCACTCTTTGTAACTACTTTGGGGGAAACACTGCCTTTAATGACCTCTTTGGAGATACTCTTTTCTGTGCAGAGCTTCATAACAATTTCATCAAATAACTTGCATCTAACAATTTTCTCTGCTTGCTGTAGATTGACCTGTGCATTTTTGTTGTTGTTGTTCCCTCAAGCATACTCCTCTGTCTTTGAGCTGCTTGCAGTTAGGAATGTGATATCTTGATTGTCAGGAGCCTTAAAAAGGCATCTAACATTAAACCAAGGTTTTTGATTGGGAGGAAAAAAAAATTTCTGACAGACCAGCAAACAATGACTTTTCTTTAAGAATATTGTTGTAGCTAATTCAGCATTTTCAAAGTGACCATACTACAGGCTGATCTGATTGAAAATTGGAAGCAATATACATTGAACTCCTTGGATGAAATCCTGGCTTCCACAGAAGTTAATGGAGTTTTGACATAAGCTTCAGTGTGGCCAGGATTTCACCCATTAGCTTTCCAACTTTACAGTTGAGTCTCTGCTTCTTCCAAAAGTCTGCTTTAGGCAACTCTTGCTGGCAGCGGTGGCGCGAGGCACCAGCGCTCCAAGTCAGGCTACCTTCAGCGGCATGCCTGTGGGAGGTCCGCCGGTCCTGCGGATTCAGCGGCAGGTACGCCGAAGCCGCGGGACCGGCGGACCTCCCGCAGGCATACCACCAAATCCACGGGACCAGGAACCTCCCGCAGGCATGCCGCCAACGGCAGCCTGACTGCTGCCCTCGCAGGGACTGGCAGTCAGGGTGGGGGGGCTTGGGGTGGCAAAAAAGCTAGAGCCGCCCCTGCTTGCTGGGTCTCAAGTGATATACTGTGTTATGCTGCTTATTCAAAAAGTGTGTGTATTTGTGTGTGTGTTTAATGTGTAACCCAGAATAGCCAGCAGTTGATTGGAAAACATGGTGGCGTGCGGGTGGTTATGCCAAGCACACCCACTCTTTGTAACTACTTTGGGGGAAACACTGCCTTTAATGACCTCTTTGGAGATACTCTTTTCTGTGCAGAGCTTCATACAATTTCATCTCCAATAACTTGCATCTAAGGCTCCTGACAATCAAGTGCCCATCCAATGAGGTGAGGAATTTTTTTTATTTGAATTGTGGGGGTGATTTTTGTTTTGTTTTTTTTTTGGTGGGGTTGTAATTCAACCTCCCAGAAAATCTAACTGTGTTGAAAAGCTGATTGGATTCTCCTCAGTCAAATTTTCATCCAGTCTGTGTAAAGCAAGGTAATGTGATAATGTAATGCAGATAAAATTAGATAAAATTTCCTTCTATTTGATACTGCCATCATCACCATAATATTAGAGTGCCTTTCAGACGTGCATTTAAGCATGTGACTGCATCTGTCACATGAGGATTGTTCTTTCTCTCATCCTGTCCCCGGCTGTATGTGCAGTATAATGTTTTGTATTTTTAATGTACACATAGTAACCTGGATATTTATATCAGAGAAGGTAGGATGAAGAAGTGCACCTTACACTAGTAGTGGAGGTGGTTGAGGTTTGTGGTACCTGCTGGGGAATTTTATTCCACAGCCTTGGAATGGCCCCAAGAAAGCTCTGTCTCCTGCACAGATGAGCTTCACCCAGACAGCTCCATTGTGCCTGAGGAGCGGAATGTCTTTCTGAAACTTTCACCAGTTTAAACATTACATAGAAGACCGTCTCAATTAAATTGAAAAGGTTTGCACGCCCCTATTAGCTTCAGCAGTCAGTCTCTGCTATAAGGTGACATCTGATTGTGCAGCTCTTCTCTACTCTGTCTGCAGCAGCGCTTGGATTCCTTTGCTTGCCAATCATGTTCAATGAGCTGTTCTCCTTTATCTTCTAATCTCCTAATGCATTACTTGTTAAAAATGGGCTTTTCTCCAAGTTCCAGTGGACTGTTTGCATATCAGACACGTCAGTTTATTCATTTTGTACAAAAGGTCACCGATTTGGAATTTATTCAGACAAAGTGAGATTCACCTACTAAAAATTAAGGCACACAAAGGAACCTTGTTTCAATGTATACTTGTTAACAAAATAGACCTGTTTAAAATAATTTGTTTTCAGTGCATCAAAAAAAGCTACAATAATGTAACTAAATATTTTTAAATGAGGCCCTAACCCCCCAAAAAGGGTGAATTTGTTTTTAAAGGAAATTCATTGCATTAAAGTAAAATTACTGAGTAATTGTCCCTGTAGCAAACCAAGACATTTAACTAAATTGTTCTCTTTAAATGCTGTACCTATAAAAATGTTAACTTGGTGCAACAATTTTATCCTTTTAAAAAGTTTTCTCTTGTTTTGAATCATGTTGTTAGTACACTGACCATAATTATATAAAAATATCTTAACTAGCTAACTGAAAATTCCTGAACTATTCCAACATGAAAAAGGAAACATGAAATTTTAGAAGCACTTAATAAAATACAAAAAATTCCTTTGCAGGAGATAAAGGAGAAACAAGAAAGAAAAGGAAAAATTAGTTTTTTCTAATGCACTTATCTTCTTTGTTCCAATAACCATGCTGATGGCAGCAGCTCATTTCTGCCCCTGAAATTGTGCCGCCCCAAGCACGTGCTTGGTTTGCTGGTGCCTAGCGCTGGCCCTACTGACAAGGGAAAAAAAGGAGGACCATTGTACTGGGGCTCTGAGCTCAAGGGAACCCCCAACATGTCTGTAAAGTCTGTGTAAATAAAGAAATGGGAGGGAATGGGGCCCTAGCGAACATGATATACTAGTGCTTCAGTGATGAGCCTGGCAGAAGCTATTGCAGAGGTTGGCTTCTAATCTGAAAATGACAGTTTTAGGCGCAAGTTTTGCATATAAGCATCTTTATATCCTCCACAATAGAATATGGTTACATATCCTATATGACTATCTCATCCAGTGTGTCATATGCTTGTAGTCTATTTCAAGTCCAGGGCTTGATAGATTTCCTTATTGTTTGTTTGATTCCTTGGCAAACCTTACTTAACCTAGTTCATCATGGAGATTATCCTATATCTTAAGACCTGGTTAATGTGAGACTGTTACTTTGCAAATTCTGCACACTCAGCCTTTTGCTGCTAGCACAGGGATTATGCTAGCACACAGTGAAATTTCCAGACAAGATTCTGTGTTCTACAAATCCCATTTTTTAGTAATGTTTGTATAGCACTTTGACAGTGTGCACCACAACATACAGGCTCAGTAGTAGTATACTTTTACCGTAGCTTCATAGCTTTTTAAGGCCAGAAAAGAGCATTAGATCATCTAGTCTGATCTGTATATTGCAGGCCAGAGAATTTCACCAAGTTACCCCGTATTGATCCCAGTAACTTATTTCACTAAAGCAGATCTTCAAAAAGGCATCCAGCTTTGATCTGAAAACATAAAGACATGGAGAGTCCATGACTTTCCTTGGTAGCTTGTTCTAATGGTTAGTGGTAAAGAAACTTGTGCCTTATTTCTGCTTTGAATAGGTCTGTCTTTCACCCATTGGTTCTTGATCAAGTCTCCCCTCAGACTTCCTTCTGATAAGCTTAACAAATGGAGTTCCCTGTCCTTCTCATTTTCATCCTTCAAATCATTTTTCTGGCTCCTTTCTGCACCCTCTCCACTTTTTCAACATTGTAATATGTGGCCACTAGAACTGAATGCAGTATCCAGCATCAGTCTCACCAATGCCATATACAAGGCAAAAATCATGTCCCTATTCCTACTCACTACTCCCCTGTTTTTATACATTAACCTTCTTGCCACTGTGTCATCATTGATCTCATGCAAATAGTCTCCTAGACTTTCATGAAGGAGAACTAGTATATTGTGCAAGACGTGGCAGTCTGGAGCATGTTACCAGCATTGTATGTAACATCTTATGAGTAGACATGGCATGAATTTTTAGAACTACTGCATCAAATTAGAGCAGTTAAATATTTTGGTTCATAATGCCAGTTGGTCAATATAAGAGTGACAGGACTTAATGCACCACTAAGAAGACTTTGATTTGCCATGCAAAATGTCCCATAGCCAGACCATTTTGTGCTGCTATTTATATTCTAGTACCACCTAGAGGCCCCAAGTGAGATCAGGGTCCCATTGTGGTAGGTACTGTACATGCACATTGTGAGAGTCAGTCCCTGCCCTGAAGAGTTTACAGCCTAAATGGGCAAGACGGACAAAGGGTATGGGGAAAAGGAAGGACCATCCCCATTTTACAGATGGGAACTGAGGTACATGGAGATTGTTCCTTGCCCATGGTGACAAAGGAAGCAGAGTTGCCTTACCCACAGCACCACGCTTCCTGTCATATTTCACACATGAAGAACATTTTGGCCAACGTTAGTCATTTGGTGGGAGAATTCTGAGAACTATCTACAAGGCACAAGAAGTGGTTGTGATGAAATAGTTGTCACTTAACTCTGAGTCAGTCCTCAACCAATGTTCTAATCAGTGGTGAGAGCCGTTCATGTCAACATTGTGTCGGAGGGCCGTGTTTCTGAAGGTTCTACCTCCTAATGACTTACCATTGTCAAAGATTAGTCCCTGTGTCCTGGCTAAATTTCAGGTGATTTATATTTTGCCTAATTAATTCCCCCTGCAATTTCAATTACATAAAATTGCATCTGCACTATACTTCTGTGTAGCGCTATCGTGCTGTTAAGCAGCGGCTGCATTCCATCCTAGAAGTTGCAGCATTTTGGCAGTAGGTAAAATGATCTCTCTCTAACCTTTATCTACTCCCCCCATCATTGTAGCTTAATTAATAATCATAAAATGCTTTAAGATCATCAGGTGAAAGTCACTATAAGTACAAATTACTGATATCATTTAGCTGCCACCAAGCACCTCAAGAATGTGTCTCCTAGCATTGGAGGCAAATCTAAATATCTAGCACAAATGTCTGTCTATAGAAAAGACCAGAGAATAGGTACAAGAACTGAGAATATATTTTTCAGCCTGAAACTGCTCTGACTGAGATGAGATGCACTTAGCAGGCATAAAATACCTCCTGTATCAGAAATCGTGAGAACGAAGGCTCTGAACTTGGGAGAAAATGCACTTCAAGTGTGCTTGGATGATTGCTGTGACCTAGGGCTGGTCCATACTAACCCCCCAGTTCGAACTAAGATATGCAACTTCAGCTATGTGAATAACATAGCTGAAGTCGAAGTATCTTAGTTCGAACTACAAGGTACTTACCGCGGGTCCACACGTGGCAGGCAGGCTCCCCCGTCGACTCCGCGTACTCCTCTCGTGGAGCAGGAGTACCGGTGTCGACAGCGAGCACTTCCGGGATCGATTTATCGTGTCTAGACAAGACGCGATAAATCGATCCCAGAAGATCAATTGCTTACCGCCGAACCCGGAGGTAAGTATAGACGTACCCTTGGAGTCACCATTGCCCCAGACCATACAGCAGTAGTGAGTTGATGGTTGGTAGTGTCCACAGAGCCACCTAGCAATGATGATTCCTGGGTTCCAGTGATTGAATCTGTCCTTCACTGGGACAGCTGTACTCTAGGACACTAGATAGGTCCTTAGTCTTTGACCAAGATGCGTGTGTTTACAAAGTCAAGGAGGCATTAACTGAAATAGGACTGTTCCATCAACTTTGTAAATAAGTTATTAATAACTGCACCAACATTCCTGGGTGTGTTCAAGACATGAAGATGAATATTTGGTATCATCATGGCAGAAGCTTGTGTGCTGTTATTGCCTCTTCCACTGCTTCCTAGACAGTCCAGGCCTGAATGGAAAGACATCGTTTTCGGTGCTTTGAGTGCCATTCTTTTCTGCAGAACTACTGGAAAGATTCATTTTTCATCCATTACTGATTTTCTGAACCATGTATAAAAATGGTCATTTTTTTGTTTGTTTTGGCCTTCATGACAGTTATATTTGAATAGCTACAAAATGCTACATTTGTCATGTAGTATTTAAACTTTGCTGCAAATAAAAATGAAAAAATTACAAGCCAACTTTAGAATTTTACTTATTTTTATGCATAGCTGGCACTTGCTTATTAAGAACATCTAAAAGTGATTTTTCTAATGCACATTTTATTTTTTTATTCTCTAAACTGAAATTCTGAATGTCAGTGATACATTGTAGTGATACTAAATGTTGCATTTGACCACTAGCATCAGTTGAATCAAACATATTTGATTTACTGTACTTGAAGTTGAAACAGTTCAAAAGTTCAGAGACAAAGTATACCCTAGAGTACAGTCCATTCAGGATCAATGAGGCATTGCCATTCTGAAGATGGATTAAGGGCTCC